ATTCGACGAACCCGGCTCATCGAATTTCTATCCGTTATACTCGATTTTCGTCCTAAAAATAATGAAAAAAAAACATTAGTTTATTATGGAATATGCATTCGTGAAAAGAAAAATATAATGAACAGAACTTTTAAAATAATTGTGTACGTTCTAATGAGTCCTTACAACTACAACATTTATGCGTATCCTAAAATCCTACTATCCTACCATCCTACTATATCCTGGTATCCTACTAATATCCCTCTATCCTATGCTACTATAATATTATAAATGTGAAAGTTTATAAGAATGTATGGACCATTGTTGGTTATTAACTCTTTTACGCCAACTCGCAGAGGCTTTTTGAACAACTTTGATACTTATTATGTTTTCGGCTTACTCACGTAATAATTTGACGAGTTTAGTCTAGAGTAAAGAGAATACATGGTGGTGGTTATATAGTCATTGGTCTAGACAGTCGCCGAGTCGCGTGTCGCGGAATGCTGCTCATGAATATGGGCCTCTAGCATGGCTTGAAACTAGTCGAGTATCTCGTCAAATTATTACGTGAGTAAGCCGAAAATATAATAATTAATTTAGAATGTCTCACGAAAGTTATGTTAAAGACTTTCATACTAGTGAAATGGGACATCAGCCGGCAATCATCTGGTTATCCATATCAGATTGAGACAGGACTATTGTGCATAATGGTAGAAAATAATAATAATATGGCTATGGGTGTGGGTGTAGGGTTATGGACTGATAGATATGATAACTAAAGAAACTTTGGCTCCTGAACAATATTATGGATTAGCATAAACAGTTATTCCACAGAATTATGCTGAACTCTACGCAGTTTGCGCAATAATTAAGCACCTTTTTTTACAACTATTTACTTTTTCTTTCATTCTTGTGTCAGCAAACGAAGTTATCCAGTACTCTTTAAAATTTTGTAATTTTTGGGATAAGATGAGAATAAAATTGATAGTATATTATTTACTGCAATAACTACATAGTGTTTATATACGAATAAAAATGTTAATTACTCTGTAATGTTTGTAGCTGCGGGGTGGACACGTAATCAGGGTCGTTCCATGGTTGGACTTCACTGCTCCCGAATGTAATGTACACTAAATTGGTAACGAAGTATATGCCTGATGTTATGTAGAATACAGTGTGCCACTGCTTCACATCCGTCTGCAAATATAATTACTTTTAAGCTGAGAAAACTTATTGTGACTCTGTAAAGAGAACGAATTTTTGTATAGTAGTACATTTTTAATACAAGCTAGATACAGGCTAGAGCAGGCTAAGACAGCATAGTACGTGTGTGAGTATCTAATTAAGCATCTTTTTTTGGCACATTTTAGCCTGTGGATGGATCGTGAGATGTCACATCAAACATAAATAGTTTAAAGGAACAATAGCTTAGATGATACAAATTTAAATACTATATTACAAAACCAGTTGTTCTATACAATTGAAAGAAAGAATGAAGAGGCTAAAAAATGGTAATAGGATAAAATATGCAATAAATAGGTAAAGATGAGGAAGCTTGGAATTGACGACTAGTACTGAGAAGCTAAAGGTAGGTAGGTATATGAAACTCATATGACAAAGTTGGTGCTGAATCTAAATGAGAAAGGATGGGACTACTAAGAATACACAGAGCAAATGTATTAGACATTTTCGCGGTTGTTAGACCAATAATGTACGCATATCAAACAAAGGTCCTTTGTTGAAAAAGACGAATCAGTCTCTCACCTCATCTGTCAGTATAACTCCTGCAACTACGGGTGCAACTATACCCGTAATGTTGGCGAAGAAGTTGGTGATGCCCATCACACTACCCGCATAGTTGGGCGTCATGTCAATGTGTGTCAGCTGGAGAAAAATTAACTCCATTTATATCTCCTTACCGACTATATTCGCTTGAAGCAATTGTAGAAGTATTCATGGTACCCAGAATACCTATAGCATGTAGCTGTAGCTATAGCATTTGAAATCAAACGATTACTTTAAATCACCGTAAAGTATGGGAGAGTCATGCTTTGGCACAAATCAGAGGCATGACCGGAGCGATAACAGGGCCTCTCAGAAAACCAGCGTGAAGCAATACTTTCGCTTTGTTTAACCGTGTGAGTGAGGTAGCCGGAGGCCTCATTCCCGTCTTCCGTAAATCTCAACAAACCACAAGAGGCATGCAACGTACTCGTAGTACCTCCTTTACTATTACAAGCGTCGCTTGGCGGTTCTGATTGCATACCAAAAGGCAAAAAGTCTGCTCGTTTAAAAAAAAATATTCCGACAAACATTTTAACTACATTTACTATATTTTTCTTAATAGGTGCATGTAAATATATCAATAAAATAATTATTACCCATATACCGGTTAGATGTCCAGCACTGAGCCCGACCACACAAGATAACATAGCTACTGTAAAAGTCACGTGACCAGCAGGCACTTGACATAATACAATGAGCATTATCGCAGGACCAAACTCACCTGTAATACACATCATCATCATCATTATTATCTCCCTGAAACTATTCTATAGCTAGGTCAAGGTCTTTTCTCATACAGAGAAGATAAGAGAGTTAATCGACCACTCTTATAAAACTGAAAATAGGACGTAGGAGTTTAAGTCCAGGTTTTTAGAGTTTAAGTCCAGGTTTTTAGTCACAAAGTATTCCTTTAATGTGTGTCTGTGGTTTTTTTATGTCATAAGTTGCCAAACGAGCAGCCGGATTACCTGATGATAAGCAATCGGCGCCGCTAATGGAAAATCGCAATACCAAAGGAGTACCTACGAGTGCGTTGCCGGGTTGCTCTCGTGGGTTATTAGGGATTTACTGATAAGGAATTTGAGACACAGGATGGGGGAGAGGAAGATTGGGCCTCCGATAACCACACTTACACGACGAAACACAACGACTGTTTTGCTGGACCCTGGTTCTCTGAGAGGCCGTGGCAATAATCCAGTGGAGCCGGCCCATTCGTGCCGAAGCATGGGTCTCCCACACTTTAGAGATAAATTTAGAAATACCTTAAATATGGAAATTATTACATTGGTACTTTCCAGGGTTTTGACCTCGCGCGCTAACCCAAAGGAAAGGGATGATGTACCGCAGCCCGTTTTGAAACAAGAGAAGGAACAGGGTGATTTTAGTCAGCCTGAGTCACTTCTCGCCCCATCTACGAAAAACATTATATTCCCTCCGCAAACCGATAAATCTCCGACCCAACTATCAAAAAATTACACAATGCAGACGAAACACTAACTTTGTGTTTCATCGCGTGTATGAGGTTACTGGAGGCCCAATCCTTCACCTGCTTCCCCCATCCTCAATTCTCTAATCTCCTATTCTTAAATCCCTAATAAACCACAGGAGGTCGGCAATGAAGTCTTAGTAACTCCTTTGGTGTTTCGATTGTCCATAAACGGTGCTGATTGCTTACCACCAGGTAATCCGTCTGCTCGTTTGCTAACTTCTGACAGGAAAAAAAACAAAATTACTAAATCCTCAATAGCTATGAGTGTTTAAGCACTAACCAATAGAATTGCATATCTTTCTACAAGTGCCGAGGCTACACCAGTTGTTCTTTATTGCAACATCCGTCATGAAACCGAAGGGAAAACTTAATAGATATAGCGACAAATAGGGGATCGCTAGCAGAAGACCATTCTGTAATTATACATTTTTAAAACATTATTTGAAAGTCACTAACTATTATAATACTGGAAAAGAATGGGAGCGTTTTGTGTACTGCAGTTTTTGGTATAAACAAATCCTTCCCCTCCTCCAAACCCAAAATCTCTAATGTCCAAATTCTCAAAAGATCGGCAACGCACTCGTAACTCCGCCGTTTTTGCGGGTGCCCATAGGAGGCGCTGATTGCTTACCGTCACGTTTACTCGTTTGACGACCTATCATACACAGAAACTAATTTTAAAGAAATTCAAAGTCCTTAAAGACACTTATTCCGTGGAAAACATTAAAAGCGAAAAAAAATGGTTAAATAACAAGAAGAAAACAGTAACAAACCTGTGTAATATCTACTTCTAGCAAATTGTTCATATACGTCGGTAACTCCGTTATGAGCGTCCAGAAGCCCCAGTTGTGGCCACAGTGCGAGATAAGTAAAGCATAGAAAGGAGCACTCTTGAGAATCTTTTTCCAAGGAGTGTTCGCCAGCTAACCGAGAATCAAAGTAAGTAACAATTAAAATGGTTTTATAGCAAATAGTGGCCAATGAGCAGACTAATTACCCGATGTTAAGCAAATAAATACCCCCCATACAAATCCGCAACACCAAAGGACGGCACGGTTGGCGATTGGTTAATTGAGTGCCGCGCGACGTGTCGCGGGTTCAATTCCCGCACGGAACAACTCTTTATGTGACCTACAGATTGTTGTTCTGGGTCTGGGTGTGATGTGCATGTGAAATTGTATGTTTGTAAACGCACCCACGGATTGGCGATTTCAAACTTATAGAATTATCCAGGTTTCCTCAAGATGTTTTTCATCACGGTAATGTCGGTGGTGTGTTTTGAACCCGCACTCTCATGCATCAGATGCGGATGCCTTAAACTCTTCGCCACCACAACGTTCACCATTAAGACGACTGTATGTCTAAATAGTCTAATACTATTACCTTATACATACAACAACTTATTCTATAGGTAGTACATATAATAACTTATTCTATAGGGTATCCACTGTTGTTTCATTTACACATATTAAGTTCTAATTCTATTGGCATTATTGTAGGCGTAATCACAAACTAAATATTTCTTCTTTTAAGAAAAGACGGGACATGTGTTTACGCAAACTTTCAGACTGCTCTTTGGACCCATTCAAAATGCAGTAATAATTACTCAGCGTTTCCTCCCCATGATGCTAATCTGTAGTTAATTAATATTTGACAGCTATGTACAACTAGCTTCCGCACGCGGCTTCGCCCGCGTGGTATGCTGATTGGTATGGAGCCTATATCGAATTCTGGAGTGTATCCAATGCCTTTGCCAGATTACATTCAGATGTGTCCAGCCGTTTTCGCATGATTGAGTAACAAATATCCAAACATCGTAATTTTTGGCATTGATAATATTAGTAAGATAAGACTACAACAATGGATTAAAACGAGTACCTTTGACTCCTCAAAAACTTGTATTGACGATTGAATGTAATCCTTTTCTTCCGTAGTTATAAGTTTAGATTTCTGAGGACTGTCTGATCCATAATACATATAAAATAAGGACCAAACAGTCCCACAGGTGCCGTTGATGTAGAAAATCGTGGGCCAGCCAAAATATTGTATTATAAAACCAGACACCATTAATTGCACGCTTGTGCCCAGAAAAGTACCTTAAAAATAAAATTGATCATTCTGATATTATTGCTATTATTCCAAACTGAAGTTAAATAAGTATTTTTAATGATAAAGTTTTAACACTTACCACCATATACAATAGAGCCTAGGAATCCCATTTCATGAAGGGGGATCCACTTGCTGACGAGACTGTGTGTTGTGGGAAATAAGCAACCTTGAGCTAGACCTTGTATAAAACGACAAAAACAAAGCCCTGTCCATCTCGCCTGAAGATAATGCACATCATTGAATAATTTATACGGGCCTTCACTTGGGAAAGGTGCTATGCCTACATTTTAAAATTTGAAGTAAGTACCTAACTAGATCTGTGTCAAATAATTTTCAATTATTGAAACAGTATGCATATTTTAATATGAATTAATTATCACTGCAACTGTAGTTACAAAACCAAAGTAAAGTAAGGTAGTCAAAAAACCAAAACAGTACATCTTCTAAATAAAATGGTTTTTCTGAAACTTGATGCATACCTTATATGCGATGGCTGGTATTATTAGTGAAACTCCTGAGTTAACAACCATACACAAAACGAGGAGCACTTTACCACCATATTTAGCTTGTAGTGGGCCGCTAGGAATCTGTAGCACTATGTAACCCCATAGGAATGAAGTCAAAATATAGCTCTGAGTCTGCATGTTCCAATCAAATGTCTGTAATAGAAACACAAATACGTTTAGCTTGATACGTTGGATATAAAAATGGTTATTTTTATATATAGTAAGTTGTAATGAGCGCATTATGCAACATTGATACATTGAAATTCGAGCCCGACAACCTGCGCAGTCGCTGACGAGTCTCGGGCTTACTGTCGACGCCACCATAGATACAGGAGAGTGCTTTGAATTTTTTAATATTTTATTATTTATTTATCTCTATTTCAGTAAGGTCAGATACTTATAAGCTAAGCCCCACAAAACCTGCACAGATTTGACTGTGTGGTCGATGAGTCTCTATTATTATTTTAAAATGAATTCTAATCACCAAGCGGTATAGTTTGGCGACTTAAATATTTCCTCTAATGAATAGTAAAATATTTGAACTTACACCATCAATATCATTTTCCGTCATAGCAACAATGGCCATACTCATGTTGACTCTCATTGAGAAAGCTAATGCTAGAGCTAAAAATAGAAATATCACTTGGATGTGTCTAACCCCTAATTTTCTTTCTGCAATAGAAATATATGTACTTAAGTAGTCATCTATGAATTATAATGTTCAAATCATCATCATCATCAGTATCATTATCATCATCATTAGCCCGTTTCTCTCCACTGCTGCACATAGACCTCTCCAATGCACGTCACCGAATTGGATGTTCAGTTCTTTCTATCCGACCAATATTCATATCAACAACGACTAATTCTTATTTTATCTCATCTACAGATGCCATGCTTCGTTCTTGGACACCAATGGAGTTGCACATTGCTGTCGGTTTGTGATTTGATGGTGGAAGTTTGAGTATAGGGGATGGTTGATGGGCCTGCAGAATTGGGCCTTTGGCCTGGCAACTTCACTCAAACAGCAACACACAACGCAAGCGTGGTTTCACACCGAAAATTACTGATACATTTTAAACCACAATCTAATTGATAGCTCTCGGTGTCGCTGGATATAGGGCACTTCCATCTGTCGCATCTGAAATCTTGATCATTGAGGAAGGTCTGTGTTCAACCGTAGACGTCTTGCAGCTACTTTACAAGCAAATAGATATAGGTGCTTTGGCAATCTCGAGTTTTGAAAAATCTAATCCATCATCAATAATCTACTGTACAGGGCAGTGATTTCAATATTTATATCACTTGCACACTTACTTCGACACATTTAGAACACTTGTACTTGGAAACTTTCTCAAACCTTATTCATAAAATATTTGGTCATTGCAAATTATTTACAAAACTACTAAAATAGTGAAATTTAGAAATTAATTCCACTCGAAGAACATTTCAGAGTACCATCGAGTGCAATCTGTCATAATTACGTGTCAGAGGCGACTGTCGTTGACAATTTGATGACTGCTCGTGCTTATATTTTATTCTTTGCTTTGAAAGTTGATGTAGTCTATGCCTGATGCGGAGAAGATTACAAATAAAACCTCACACTTGTTGAATTCTCACACGAGACGTAAATTATTTATTATTTTGCGGACTAATCTCGTAGCTATATGAAAAGGAACTCGACTAGTTTTAAAATATGTTCCTTGTCTCATGTTGCATTGTTACTCATGAATATAAGCGCCTGTCTTGGCTTGAAAGTTGACGAGATCCTCGTCAATAGTTGCGCTACAAAACCGATAAGTTTAATTACACAAACAAATAAATTACTGATATCATGTATGGGTGTACATAAAGGATTAGAATAAAGTTGATAATACAAAAGCTAAACATTATTTATTTATATTTACAAAATTTACAAATGTATCAGGAAAAGTACACAGATAGACACAACAACAGCTCAGCAAGATCGATATCATATAAATCGTGTGATATCATATTCATACAATGTGTTCTCATAGTTTTGGAAACGTATCAGTTTCATCCCATTGACAGCCAGTCGTAAGATAATTAAATACAACTAAGTAACCCTATTTTGAAGTACTGAATTATAATTGTTTGAACCTTGATGAGCAGATGAGATTCAGTTAACGCTTTTATTTTCCGCAACATCAGAACCTGGAGAAAAATTAAAGACAGGTTAATAAAATTGTATTATACCATAAAAATAAAACAAATAGGTTCTTATTTACACAATGCTAAGCTACTCTTACTTGGTCTACTTTCAGCATCGCCTGCATCAGGATCCTCATTCCAAGGCTGCCTCGCACTTGTGCCGAAGATAATAAAGATGGTATTGGTGACTATATAAATGCCTGACGTCACGTAGAATACCAGCTGCCACTGGTGGTAGTCGTACTGAAAACATTCATCATATTTAATAAATTAATATGATATTTAATTGTGTTAGTCTTACAGGAGGAACTCGATTAGTTTCAATGAACTCTATATTCTTCAACAGTAAAAATCGTCATAACTTTTTAAATAATATTTTAGTCAAAAGGTTACCTCATCCTCAAGCAAAATTCCGGCCACTAGAGGTGCGATGATAGAAATGACGTTAGCGAAGAAAGTGGTGATGCCCATCATGGTACCAGCAAAGTTGGGAGCCATGTCGATGTGGACCAGCTGTTCAAACCACATTTTTGATTACAAAACAAAATGGAGTTGGTTTATTTTAGAAGAAGGTAAAAGAAGTTAAAATGTTGTTTATATACGGTCTTACCATGAATCCAGACAAATGCCCTGCATTCAGGCCGACAACGAGGGTGAGAAGACCTACTGCCTGTGTGACGTCACCAACGGGCGAGTGGCATAGCACTATCAAAGCAAGTGCTGGACCGTATTCACCTACACCCAATTAATAAGAAAGAGCAAAACTTGGATCAACTGACTTAATCGATACATTTTTTATTTTATACAAATAAAAAGAAAATACATACCAATGGAATTGGAAACTTTTCTACAAGTATTGATACTAAACCATTTCTTCTTTAAACCATAATCCGATATGAAACCACAGGGGAAACTTAAAATATACATCACAAAGTACGGGAGAGCTGACATAGCGCCACTCTGCGAAACAAAAAGTAAGGATGGTTCTACAAACATGAATAGTTTTAGCGAAAATGTTTAATACATTCTCTGAACTCAAGGAAATATTTGTATTGTGTTAGTATTTATACTTTGAATGAATTGAAGATACGTTTGAAACTCACCTCCTTAATATCGACTCCAAGCACTAGTTTCATATAAGAAGGCATCTCAGTCATGAGGGTCCAGAAGCCCCAGTTGTGTCCACTGTGCATCACTGTCAGAGATATGAAGGGCACACTAGTAGCTAACTTCTTCCACGGAGTTTTCAGTATCTATAAAATACTTAGTTAAGTGAAAATCCTTTTTTCCATATTATATATTAAGAAAACATATTACATTGTTTCTTTTCCAATTACAAATAAAATGGAAGTAGAAGCTAACCTTTTGGCCATCAGTTTGTCCAAGTGATGTCAGTATATACATTCTTTCCTCTGTGCTGATTATCCTTGACTTCTGAGGAGAATCTGCTCCAAGGGCAATGTAGAACATCACCCAGATGGCAGCGAGACTACCATTTACATAAAAAATGGCTGGCCAACCCCAATACTCGGCTATGTAGCCTGAGGCTACCATCTGTATGCCGGTACCGAGCAAGGTACCTGGACAAATTATATAAATTATTATTATAACAATATGTTTTCTTAAAGACATAGTTAAAATACAGTTTTCGTTGCTAGGTGAATATTCCGTTCCTTATAATTACCTCCATATATAAAAGTACCAAACCGACTTTTCTCTTCCAAAGGTACCCATTTACCTATAAGATGATGCGTGGTTGGAAACAGACAGCCCTGAGATAAACCCTGAATACCACGGAGTAGGCACAGCCCTTGCCAGCCTCCCTGTAACATAATGTTAATCAGTAAACAATAAAACACTATATTGTAAACTAAGCAAAACACTCAATAAGAAATATTAAGTTTAAACCAGATAAAAAATATTTTTTGCAATGATCGAACTAAATAATCGTGCATGGATGTAAACTTACATGGTATGCTCCATATGGTATAAATAGCGAAACGACGGAGTTCACAGCGATGGCTATGGTAATGAGGATCATTCCACCGTACCTGGCAGCCAGTTCGCCACTAGGGATCTGCAGTACTATATACCCCCAGAAGAAAGAAGAGAAGACCACGCTTTGGGTCTGCATGTTCCAGTCAAATGGCTGTTTAGAAGTAACATAAATTTATAATATTCTGACTATATTGACTTTTTGACTTTTTTTTGACTAATCTACATATTTTTGGAAAAAAGAAAGGCCATAGTTAGACTTTTTTAAATATGGGATATCGAAGAAGAATATTTGAAATAGACTAAGCCAAAAATTTAATTCTTACGTCTTCACTTCTCTTGTCTGTCATAGCGACTATGGCCATGCTGATATTGACTCTCATTGCAAATCCCAGTACTAAAGCAAAGAATAATAATAACACCTGAAGGTGCCGAATTCCAAAGATCTTACCTGGAATAAAACAAGTTTGAGAAAGCATTAATATCCCATATGGATAAGGGAAAACATTAAAAGTCAGTGCCATCATCTTCTTCAAATATTCTAAACATTTTAAGTTTTGATTTTGACGACCAAAGAGCGAACCACTTTCATACAGATTAATGGTTTCTAAAGGCTACAAACTTACTTGAACACATTGCTATACAATACTTTCCAAATAATCCTCAGTTCCATTGATAGCTGTTATGCTCTTTGTAGCTACAATTTGCATCTGGCCATCATTTTAAATGATTGTAACCAGCTTTAAGTCATCCACTGTTTTATAAATTTTCATTTAGCCCTGTTCAAAAAGTCTTACTTTGAAACTGTGTATTTTATAAAAAGGTTTGGTAAAATCAAAAATCATGATAAAAGACGTCTGTCATTGTAGCAACGGCAACGATGCGATCAAATGTAGGCAGATAAATTTTACAAATAGTATATAACATGTGCTAACCTTCTTTGAAAATAAAGATAGAATTTTATGTATTATTGCGAAGCAAAATTTGAGTAATTTAAGAGAACTAATGTTTCGGTGTGTTCCTTTATTTCCATTGATTTTACAAGTAAATATTTTTCGGCGTACCAAACACGTATCTTTTTATTTAGCAAGCTCTAAACCTTGTCGTCATGGGATTTGTTATAAACAAAAATACAGAAATATATTTTATTGAAACATAATTTATTAATATTTACAAAATTTACAAATGCATTACAGGTAGGTAAGATACTTATAGGTGTATCAGTTGTTTCTTAAACTACTTTTTCAGCCTTCTTTTCTGCTTCTGAAAAATAAATAAAAAAAGTTGTTAAAAATTGGCACAATTTTGAAATACTTGAATATGCACGTTTTTTAAAATTTGACTGATTCATAGGATAAGAGTACCGTGCTAAAAAAAACCCATGTCTAAGCAGGTTATCAACCAAACACTACAAATTAGTTGTAACTGTACTTTGTATATTAAAAACATCCTCACCAGAAGTGACCTCGTTGTTTTCAGGCTCGTTCCAACTTTGCCTCTCACTGGTGCCGAAGACGATGAAGAAAGTATTGGTGACAATGTAGATAGCAGATGAAACGTAGAATACTAGGTGCCATTGAGTTGGATCGGTCTGAAAAAGAATGACATTTATTGGAGATACGCAAAATTTCAGAAAGGACGTTTTAATATTTATTTGGCGCTAAAAGGGTTAAAGAAAATTTTGGAATAGAAATGTTTTTCATTTATCTGTTAGAACTGTTTCTAGCACTCACCTCATCCTGTAGGATAAGACCAGCGACTAGAGGAGCGATGATGCCGATGATGTTGGCAAAGAAGTTTGTGATGCCCATCATGGTACCGGCGAAGTTTGGCGCCATGTCGATGTGAACCAGCTACAGCAAAAGGAAATACAATGAGACAGATTAGACGCACATAATAATATGTGCGTGGTTTAATCGCTTTTCAGGGTCAATGTGTTATTCAAGGTTAATTTTACAGAAATCTATTACCTATTTGACTTAACCACTTATTATTCTTTGTAGGCTGAATTTACACATACGAATATATCAAAATATTAGAATACCTTCAATAGGCAATGTAAAATAAATGGACCTCATTAAAAAAAATATTTATAGGTTTTGTATATGGCTCTTGTTCTTTATGTACTGTCTGTATTATTTTAACTTTTAAAGGTAATTACCAAATATCCAGTCATATGGCCGGCGTTAAGTCCAACTACGACGGTGAGCAGGGTGACAGCCAGCGTGACATTACCAGCGGGCACGTAACATAATGCTATGAGAGCTAAACCGGGACCGTATTCACCTGGAAGAAGAATTTCAATCATCAATGAAAACCAGAACCAGAACCAGTTTGCAATTTTAATAGTAACACAAGCACCAGACGAATTATCTAATGGTAAAATTTCGCCATTTCGCATAAAAAAGGTGTTACAAATACGTTGCCGGCCTGAATGAATTTTTTTCTTAGTGAAACTAAACAATATTGATTGCAATTCGTATCGTACCAATAGAACTGGAAATTTTCCTGCAAGCGCTGATGCTGAGCCATTTCTTCTCCAAGATGTAATCCGATAAGAATCCGAAGGGGAAACTTAGAATATACATGGCTAGGTAAGGGAGAGCCGACATTACACCATTCTGTAAACATCGAACAGCTTTTTAATTAAATTATATTAACCAAGATTTTTATAACAACTTTTGTACACCAAATATTGACCAGTAAATGCAATTAAATTCAACTGTGAACGAATTGACACAAGTAGTTCCGAATGAAAGAAAACTTAAGAACATTGTTAGGTGCACTTTGCTAGACTTTGAGATTAATTGAGACTTTGTTTTTATTTGGGATAGTTTATGTCTTAAATCCTCATGATTGTTTTTTTATTCACATCTTTGCTGTAATGGAAAGTATATGATCTTTACTTAAACAATTTCAGACTCACAGCTTTGATGTCGACTCCAAGCACTTGCTTCATGTATGACGGCATCTCAGTCATCAGAGTCCAGAAGCCCCAGTTGTGTCCACAGTGGACCACTATCAGGGAAATGAAGGACAGGTTCGTGCTTATCTTCTTCCAAGGAGTTGGCAACCTCTGGAAAACGTCAAGCGACATTTGAAACAGGGAAGAGCCAGTGCTAAATAGAAAAAAATGTTTGAAATGAAATAGATTTAAGTACAAAAATAAAATTGAGTTCAAGTCGTCTTGTATACAACCTGGACGGGTTTAAGTCGAGCACAATAGTGTCTGGCAGAATTTGTTCATTCAACTATTAATGTTACAATTGAAGTTCAGGCACATATTTCAATGAATTTATAACACAATAGCTAGGTTATGTAAACCAAACCTCAATAAATTATGAATTTAGGCTCATTCATCACTAAATCTAAAATAAAGACAGACGATATTTCCAATAATTTTCTAGAATTCTCGAGAACTATAAATCTAATCGGTGCGGCAATCCTTGATTTAGACCCTTGTTATCATTTCGACTAACCAGATGGAATGTTCTGGATAATTTACATGATATCTGATGATAATTGAGCGCAGAGTAAACTGACGGCTCGGAGATTTATTGAGATGACGGTGTAATTATTGAGAGGATTTGATTAATTCTAATAATGTTCTGCCGTGCAAATATGTACACAGCACCAATATCACTATAATTGTTTTAGCGACCTTATGCATAGCGAAGTTATTTTAGAAATTTTATCAACTCTTCGGCCTATAAGTGTCCAGTGCTGAGCAAAGACCTCTTTTGAGCATTAATCACCACGCTTGCTCTAAGCGGCGATTTCAAACTTATTTAGAAATGACATTCCAAGTTTCCTCACAATTTTTTTCACCGTACGTCACTGGTGTCTGTATAGTCATGGAAAGTACATTTAACTTAGAAAAAGTCAAATGGTAGGATCCCAACCCACGTCTTCGTCGAAGCGTGCCACCTCTTCCGGGCCACTAAGATACTTTAGAAATAAATTTCGCTAATACATATGGGATTATCATGATTATAATAAATGTTTAGTTATTTTTTTGGTAAGGTAACGTACCTTCTGTTCCCCAACCTGTCCAAGGGATGTTTGAATGTATAGCCGCTCAGTCTCGCTGATCATCTTCGATCGTTGTGGAGAGTCAGAGCCGAGGAACACGTAGGCGACTACCCAGATGGCGCCCGTAGCACCGTTGACGTAGAAAATGGCTGGCCAGCCCCAGGAGTTTGCTATGAAGCCTGATATTACCAACTGTATAACTGTTCCCAATTGTGCGCCTGAAATATAGACGTAAAGATCAAAATACTGACTTTCCGCGAATTGGGGGCAGCAAACGAGCAAACAGATCACCAAGTATCAAACACAATGCAATAATAGTGTAGCTGCTATTGTATAATAGCATAAGAAAAAAACTCTTTAGTGTTTAAACCATTTCCTTGGAGTTTAAATAAAAGATATTGTTTAAAGCTATATTAGCTAAATGGCAGATTTATCGAATTTCACTAAATAAGATGCCAAAAAAAATATTTTATGATATTTTTATAGTAGTCTAGGAAATGTAATTAATGTATTTGACTACAAAAACTATGTATACTGTAGTAACACATGAAATTAAATGCGTAGAAAAACCTCCGGTCACACAAGCCAAAATAAAGCCTTCCTTAAAAAAAAACACTTTGTTACACCTATATTTTATTTCTAAATTTTAATTTTAGTAAGTATGGTTTTCACATACTCTACGTAGCATAGCTAAAATTTTCCATTAAACTGATTTAATGGTCTGTTTGTATTATTAGATATATGTTGCTAATAGTAGGAATGACCTTCATTTTATAGCAAGATTTATCATAGGTCTATTATATTATTTTATTACTGATAGCTAGCTAGCTAGTTTCATCCATCAATCGGTATCACAAAGTTAACTAGCATACTCCAAACTATAACAAATCCAACACTCAGCTTTTACTAAGCCATCATTCGTGAAAAGAGAAATTAAGCCAAAAATATTCACGTTCAATCAAAAAATGCTCACTGCCAAATGAGCGCTAATCACCACCCACGTGCAAGGTAGATTGGCAACTTAAACATAGTATAATACGAAATTCCAATTCCAGGTTTCGTCACGATGTTTTCGTTGACTTTACAGCAGTGTTGTCTTAATAATCTTAGAGTCCATTTAACTTAGAAAAAGTGGTACATGCTAGGTTTCGAGTTCACCGACGGCTCATGCATGAAAAATGGGTGCCTTAAAATATTCATATCTCTTACTAATATTTCATTGAGCAGGAATCTACTGTATCTATAAGCCACGTTTTGTATTAAAAGATAAAGGGCATTTGAAAAGGACGTTTAATATCCGTTTATCATAACGTACCGCCATATATTAGGGTTCCGAGTCTGCTCTTTTCCTCCAACGGAACCCATTTGCCAATAAGGTTATGCATCGTCGGATACAAGCAGCCTTGAGACAGTCCCTGAAGGACTCGACATCCGCACAGTAACTGCCAACCGCCCTGAAAAAATTACAGTTTGTAACAACTTTTATTCCCTGTATGGTCAGTGAAGGATTAAAGTTTTATAATTTTAAATACAATTGTTACTTCTATGAAAAACATATATAAAACAAAATTATGTTGAAACAACAAATATAATTTGAGACTAGATGAGAGGTGTATTTGTGACAATATCCTTTTTATGATACATAACTACATGATGATATAACTGCGTACTGCCAAGTTCAAGGCCATCACTTTCTCGCAAATTGAACTCTCACATCCAGTAAACAAAGTCTTAATCACTACTTACATAGTACGTCGCGATGGGTATGAGTAGCGATACCGCTGAGTTGACAGCTATGCAGATGGTGACGAGGATCATGCCGCCGTACCTGGCAGCTAATTCACCACTGGGGATTTGCAGTATTATGTAACCCCAGAAGTAGGAGGAGAGGATCACACTCTGGATCTGCATGCTCCAATCGAATGCCTGTGGCAACAGAAACATACCTTTATTTATTTTAATTTGTTTATTTATTTCTTCTTCGCACAAAAGACTCTGAATGGTAGACTTGTGCCTTTTGGGGATAGGGGTTGCGGATAAAAGGAACGGTAAGGGATAGGGGAAGGGGAGGGATTGGGCTCCGGTAACCTCACTCACACGGCGAAACACAACGCTGGGTTGTTTCACGCCGGTTTTCTGTGAGGCCGTGGTATCACTCCGGTCGAGCCGACCCATTCGTGCCGAAGCTTGGCTCTCCCACACATAATAGCTTAGGTAATTATGAAAAATATACAACACAAAAGTCTAATACGTATAATAAATATCTAATTAAGTACAGTCTGTGAAGTTAAATTATTATATTACAAGTCTCTGAGAATGTCAGTGTCAGTGTTATAATATTTATGAAAATCTAGTCATAAGGTCCATTATGCAGTAATTTTTCCAATTATCTTTATACATATTTGTTCATCTCAGTATGAAGACGCAACATCTGTCGAACATATCAGTACTCTGAGGCCATTGATACGGTATTTGTGTGATAATATCAGCACTTGTATTAATCTTTATCAGACGTCAGTAGTAAGTTTCAATACAATAGCTTATCTCTTATCTCCCCCGCGGAGAAGTTCCACTGCTCCCAATATTTATCCACGATATCAGTACTGATAACATTGGATTATAACGATAAACAATTTCACTGGTTTCGTTTATTGTTTTGTATGTATTTAAATGAAGGAAACATTGACTAGATGCTAGCTTCCACCGAAGGCTTCGCACGCGGGTAAAAGTATATAACACGCAAATCAAGTACAATTTATAACCTTTACTACTAAAGAAAGCTGTCTATCAGTGAATGAATTTTAAAACCCGCGGTTCCAAATATTAACCCCTACACTTTGCAAGACAAATAAGACAAAGACAAATGGTGAAGAAAAACATCGTGAGGAAACATAGGCTTATAATTTCTAATTATAAGCTTGAAATCGCTAGTCTGCCTGCCTGGCATGTGAGGAAAGGCCTTCGATTTTGATAAACCTTCCTTTTATACAGCGAAAATCTTCAGAAACTACATTGCTTTTGGAGAGAAAGGCTAGAAAGTATGAGATTCTTATCTGATTTAAAGGTAGCAGTGATTGCTCTCAGACCTTAAAGGTGTGGTTTTCCCTCTCTGTCAGAACTGCCTAGCAGAGACAGGGCCGTAAGTGCTAGCAGAAACAGGGCCCGTAATCCTTAACACGATTTCCTTCCTTAACATTTTGTGACCCCATAAAACGACAAACTATTCCTAATCATAGCAACATACTATATGCTTAAGTACTTTTTTACGTCGCCATCGCACGTGTCATAGCGATACAGATTCACGAGTTTACGACAATAACTCCATTATGGTTTGTAGATAATTAAACCATAAAGGTACGACTCGCGTCATAGCAAGCTTTATTTAGAACAATGTTGCTATTTTAGTTCATACAAATATTTGCATTGTGGTTTACTATTTATAGCTTCATTTTTGATTATGTTTCAATGAACGAAACGTTGTATGACCGATTCTGGTACTTTTCCTACTTAACGACATAACTAGATAATGCATAACTTTCTATGCCTTATATTGAGTTGACTAGATCATTCAATAGTTTTCATTTCACGATTGTGTCTTCGACGTTTAGCCAAATCATGAAAATGTGATAATTCCACTTGTTGCTTACAAATAATAATGGGTCACTGTTTGGTGCACTAAAAAAAAATCGCGCAAATACGTAAGTAGACAGATTGCTACGTTTTTACAAAACCTATTTTTATTGGAAGACGAGAGATGTAATATGACCACCTCTTACGTTATGAGTCTCATTTAGTAGTTAAGTTCATTGCCGTTAACAGGCTCCATCCACCCAACAAATCCAGAAGAAAATTAAAAAGAAAAACAGTTGCATTTAAGACATTTAAGGATTGAACGTGTCCTTTTGTGAGCAGTTGAACATACAGCCAATTGACCGACAAACACATAGTTAAAATTCTATGAAATTTAAAAATTATATTTTTGTAATTGTTTGGTTTTCAAACAATAATGAGATAAATCTCATTCGTGATAAATAATAATTAAATGTAATGACAACTAAGGTTGTACGGTTGTCGGACTTAATTAGGTAATTGTTAACAGAAAAAAAACGACTCATATTTTATCATAATCTTCATTATAAGAATATGAACAGTTTTAAAAATGGAATGTTTTGAACAAAAGTGTATCCTTATTACTGAGTGTTTGGGGGAATAGTGGCTGGCCAATTCTAGGCTGTTATAGCCCAACATATTGAAAACTTTTTACTCTTATAGTGATATTTGTGTGTGATGTACAAATTGTTGTTCCAGGTCCGAATGCAACATTTGCAGGTGCAAGAGTAATAATGAACCATAGCCCGGAGCAGGACAAGGAGTGGTTTCAATGAGTAAGATTCTAACACTGTTTCTCTCCCCACCTTAGATGGTAAAAGTCATTCGAAGATCTTTTACCTTAAAAAAGTCTTAAAGCAATATAATGTATGTGAATTGATTGGTACCTTCTTTAACGCACCATTGTTATTGCTTTTGAATTAGTCTTAAATGTTCTTTTTTCTATAATAATATTATAATTTTGTTGTGATAGAAAATAACAAATGACATTCTGTTTAATGAACACACAGGTGTTCAGTTTGTCTCCGCTATACAGTTAAACGATTTATTTGCCTCGTGACCTTGGCAAACTAGTTTCACTAGTTATTGTTAGCGAAATTAATTTTAGATGTTTTTATGCATACAATCAATGAAACTGGAAATGCAATTTATGAGTTCATTTTGTCAAATATATTATAGAAACATATGTATTTATGACGAAGTTGTGTCAATGTTTTTTAGTATTTTAATATTATTTTTTCTTTTCTTTTCTAAGTGTGGCAAACCATCAAATTACTAATTGTCAGACTCTTACTGACAGAAACCTACCCTATTCCTTCTCCTGTTTCAGGCAGAGGCTGCGGTACCTTATTGCACAATCCCCGCTACTCCAGCTGAGTATTTGGTGTTGGCGTTGTATTATGCCAAGTGAAGTTAAATACCTTAAAAAAGTCTTAACGCTATTTTAACTCCTTGATGTTGTTGATGATGTGTCTGATCACTCCAGTCGAGCTAATCTATTATGCTGAAAAATAGATCTCCTACACAAGCCGTAACCACATTTTTTTTTGTAAAAATTCTCTATTTGACACTTGAATGACCAACAATGTAGTAAATTTAGATAAAAGAGGATGAGAGGTTATGACGCGTTTAGGTTTTGCAATTGATTATAAAATCGATAAACAAATCAATCGTGGTCTCACGTGAAACGTTTCATAATCGACAGCTGTAGTACTGATATCACAGTATCAGTGTTCTCGTCGGTTTCAACACAGCTAAAACCACTCCAAACTAGTTTAAGCACATGTAAACAAGTAGAAGGGTTTTTACACATAACAAAATATATAGCTGATCTTAATGAAATGTTGATAAACAAAAAAGATTATTTGCAAAAAAGTAACTTAAGTCGACTGCCGACAGAAAACTGTTGAAAGCAAATCCTCCGCTAGCGAAGATTACCAATGACGCCCATGGCATTTAACGTGTTAAGGTATTTTTGCAAACATTTTTATAAAAAACTTATAATAAAAGGTGCTGCTGCGTATGCATAATAGTTGGCTAACATTTACAAAGAGCCCCCGTAAAACCTGAACAAATTATTTGTACTAGATGATCAACAAGATAGCAATAGTTTGTTTATTCCGTTATAACAACGAGTGCCACTGGAGTGGTTAACACTCATAGGGTAATCAAACTTGTAATCGGTTTATGACTTGTACACAAACGATAAGGGTGCGTCTCTTATAGTAGCGATGAGCGGAAGATATAGCGGGCAGACTGCATTTATATAGCAAATTTTATATTATAAAAAAAATTAAAAAAAATTAAATGTTTGTTTTGGCAGGCAAGGGAAATCATCAAATGGCTTCTCCCGACGTAAACTGTTGCAGACTTAAAACCCGTTCATTTACCTACTACGGGCCAATGCAGCAGTACACAAATTGTGCTTGCACGCGCAACTCTGGATGCAAAATTCATAGCCTAGTCTTCATCCCCTACGTTTTTGTCACATTTTATTTTGTGAGAATTTACATTACAAGTATGTATAGTGAAAAAGAATCGGAGGAGGAGGAGTAAATTAAAATCGGAGCATCTAATGTTGATTGCCTAGAAGGAAGTCTATGATCGAATTGAAAACCAGTATTGTAGTCATCAGAAATGTCACGTCACTCTTAAACTAACACCCGGTTTCTGAAAGGCTTGTCAAAGCTAAAATTAACTAATCTCCTGTTAAATCTCTTGTCAAGTCATCTGATTAGTTGTTGATAATTCAGTCAACCAATCAGATGACTTGACAAGAGATTAAATTGATTTTAACATTGATCGGTCTTTCGGAAACCGGGTGTAAAAATACATAAAAGACGTTGCAGTTAATATACACGCACAAGCGCACGTGCCTTAGTTTACTTTGCATATAATCTATATCAAACATTTGCCAAGAATACATATTATGTTATTTAATCACGTTAAACTTAAGATAATAATATAATCTAAGCTAATACAATAAAACAAAAGAGTATATTTGTTTGAATATAATGATCACTAGAACTCGACAAATATTTTGATACACAAAACTTTTTGCACATTGCTTTCGAATTATTTTAAGTGGGTACATCCTTTTATTTTATTTCATTACCATTATCTTGCCTGATGGTAAGCAGTAATGCAGCCAACAGAGCAGCATGCTTGCTCATATGGAACCTATCCATTCCGACCTTAAAAGCATCCATTGTAACCAGCCACCAAAAACAAATGCGACAAATACTTCTAAAATCTTTGTGTCAATAATAATAGGAAATCGATAATCTTACCCCTTCCCCTGCACTAGAGTCAGTCATAGCCACAATAGCCATACTCATGTTGACCCTCATGGTGAAGCAGATCACCATGGCGAAGAACAGCATCAACACCTGGACATGTCGCACTCCCAGCACAGGCCCTGGAAATATTATTATAAATAAGGATTAAATAGGCACTGTTAACCTGTTCGTAGACCATGTCCTCAACCGGGTGAAGGAGAATGGAGATGGATGAAGAGAAATCCTTGAATTTATTTCCAGTTCTCCAAAAAAATATAATAGAAAATTGGTTATATTATTCCAAATCCTAGGCATTACGAGTAACTCAGTGCTTAGTACTACTAAAATAACAAGCGAAGACTGATTCTGGAATTTTAAGGTATTTTAAGTTGAATTGACGTATTTCAAAACGCACGTCGCACATCAAGGAATCCTAAGTATTGAAATCACTGTAATATACTTTCAACTTCAACACAAAATTATTAAGTTCAAAATGTGTCTTTGACTATTATTGAACCATGGGCTGATGATGCAAATAAAAGATTTATAATTATTTACATAAGGACACTCTCCAAAATCAAATCCCATCATTACCTCTAGGCAATAAATCATGGCGTCGCATAGTACCGCTTGGGACCGACAGGCGGCGACACTCACGCGACCTAAACCCATTGCCGTCAGAATTTAATTAAGAGTTCGCCTTAAACTGAACGTAATGAAATCGACTTCATACCAATATCTGAGTTAATGAGTTTTTGCAATATCTGCATAATGTTCAAGTACGATCAATTCTTAGGTGAAAGTAGGTATTTTGATGGTGGTAATTGAAATTTTATAGATCGATTTCAATTTTCCCAATCGCCTTTATAGCCAATTGTTAACTAGAGTAATAAATCCACATGATAAAAGATGACTTAATCTACATTACATCTATTATATAAAAATGAATCGCGAAATGTGTTGGTAAGTGCATAACTCAATAACGACTGGACCAATTTTGCTGATTCTTTTTTTGTTATGTTCGTTATTTTTATGTGCAGGTTCTTACGAAAAAGTAAAGGGGAATATCGGGAATAAACCATGCTTTCGGTGCTGTGGCCGTTTGCTAAAAAACAAATGACTGGCGGGGTAGTCAGATACCTACCCGTGCGAAGCAGGGGCGGTCCGCTAGTTGTTAATATATGTACATTTAATTATTTTGCACGTAGGTAAACGCAACTCAAAATAAGTATACTTTTTTGTATAAAAACAATAATTACGCCTCAAGTCATAAGTTCGAGAGAATGACCACACACAAAAACACGTCGTCTGATTAGCTGTTGCGTAATAAAGTCATTATCAGTAAACCATAACTGAGAGGTGTTCCTAATGTGCATCTAATGTTGTTTACCAACAAATCTATCGACGCTGCAGTACAATGTTAATGGGAAAGAGAGTTACAATGTTCCTGAGTGCTATAAACTATAAATTATACTTCATTTACGTATTCTAGAGCTAGAGGACCTTTCGCATTAAAAGCTGCTGTATTTAAAATCCCGGGATAGGTGTACATTACTTCAAGAAGTTTGTGCTGAAATTAAATAATTCCAAAAAATACAGTGAGGATTTTCACACAAAATTCTTGCTCCCATAAGTGTAAGAGCTATGCTTCGGCACCAATGAGCTGGCTCAACCAGAGAAATACCACGCCGGGGTTGCAGGGCAAGCGCAATAAGGCACCACGGCCTAGAGCAGGAATAGGCGGATTTTTAGTCAGTAAGAGTCTGACACTCACCTTGCCTCATCTTGGGCGAGAGAAGTCATTGGATGATTTTCCATTCACAAAAAAATGAGAGCTGCTATGCTTCGGCACAAATGAGCTGACTTGACCAGAGTTTCACAGTAAAACAACCAGCGTAAATACGGCGAAAGACAAATCGTTGACAATAGATAAGACATTTAATTACAAAAGCCGGCGGTTGTCCATGGGTGGCGCTGATTGCTTACCACCAGGTAATTAGCCTGTTGATTAGCCGACCAATCCCATAGAAATCCCATAAATTTTCAATTCTATCAAAGAAATTAGTTGGGAAACTCCCTTCAACTTTCTAAATAGACGAGTTCCATTTATCAAATTGGGCTTATCAATTTAGGAGTGGAAACGTATTTTCGATATTAGTGTCACATAATTGCTCGCAATAGTTAATTGATTGAGCCGTTATTTTCCTCCTTCGTTATTTAGGGTTCAAATTTCTGAGACGTTTTTGATTCGTAGTTACTCGTGTGGTTACAACCTTTGATTTGATTACAATTTTTACTGTCTTGAAACAACTCGTGAACTCACAGAAATGAGGTAGTATTTCTAACTTTTAAACTTTCGCGTTTCATTGAGGTAGTATTTCGCTGTAGGAGTAGGATTTGTGGACGCTTAAATCCTATTATAATTTGGACCAGCTGGTGTTTAGCTTCTATTTCGCCTGGTTTAAGCGACGATGCGACCTAAGGTGGAGAATGCCAGCGCTTATGGGTATAAGCATTTTAATCACTCGGGCCTTGCGGACATCCAGGTTATATCCTTATGGAAGCACAGAATCTAGCAAAGCAAAACCCATAACCCCAAAAATATTGGAATGCACTTGTAGCTAGTGGTATTGGTTTCCTAGAGAGAAACCATGGAGTTACTTGCTCGTTCTTCTCCATATGAGTCTACATTTAGGAAAGAGCTTACAGTTATACTAGATGACAGACTGACACACACACAAAGTCAAACATTATGATATTTAGTTTTTGTTTGACGTTCAAAGTTGCCTATTTGAAATAAATGATTTGCCTTTGGCTTTGACTAGAGCATTGGTGATTGCTCCTATCATCTGATCCATAAGCTCGTTTACACACATCTTTGTCTGTAGAAGATATAGGTATTTCTAAACACTTAGTTTGAATCGTGCCTTATCTGTCTTCGCTCCCTGCACGTTAATTACCATTAGCTAAGTAGACACACATCTTACAGTATGTGTAACTACACTGAAATTGAACTCCAGCAATCAGTCAGATTTATCATTTATTTATTTATTTATTTATTTATTTAGAAAACCAACAGCGATACATGTGGTATAATACAAATAAAGATATTACAGTTTAGTAAGGCTAATAATAGGTTTCCCTGCTTAACTTAATTTGTGTTTACCATGCGAACGGACTTTAAACAATATTAAAAAATAAAGTCTTACTATACATAGAATTGAAAGTTAAATATACTACTTGTTATAAAAAGAAATTAATTAAAATATGAATTAACATAGTTAATACTTTATGGTGAATGGAACAAAGTTACCGGCTGCTTGTCTATATCAATTATAAGCCTTTTAACTCGGGCTTTAAAACTAGGTTTTGTGCAGTTAAACATATCAACCTGAGAGAAGTTTCTGTTGTAGGTTCGCGCAATGCGAGTAAGTACACAATTACTAGCATAATTAGTGGCATGCCTTGGTACATGCAACATTGGCGTATGGCGAGTGCGTCGTAGAGGAGCATTAAATTTGATCTGTGATAACAAATCCGGACAATCCAGCCTACCATTCAGTATGTCGTAAAGTAGACACATGTCCAACACTTCGCGTCGTTCATCGAGTGTTAACAATCCATACGTCCGACAGCTATTTTCATAGGACATTGGAGGTTTACGAAGGCGGTAGTTAAGGTGATTAATGAATTTTTTTTGAACCCGTTCTATTTGATTTTTATATACATTATATTGAGGGGACCATATTGGGCATGCGTATTCAAGAACGCTGCGAACATAAGCAAAATATACAGATTTAAGCGCTTCAATGTTTCTAAATGCCCTGCAGGATCTTAGAACGAATCCTAAATTTTTGTAAGCTTTGGCAGTAATAAGATCTATGTGATTTGAAAATGACAACCCGCTATCGAACATAACTCCTAAGTCTCGAACTACCTCAACTTTTTTGATAGTCATTCCATTAAATTGGTACGAGTACGTTATAGGGTTCCTCTTACGTGTATAACTGATGCATTGACATTTCGTGACGTTCACTGAAATTTTGTTTCTTGTGTATCATTGATTAAAAAACTATAAAAATATAATTGAACGTATATGTGTGTGTGTATTTATTGTTATTTAGAATCAAAATTATTTGATTATGCCCCAAATTATTTAAAACGCTGTCTTAGTAGATTCATTGATAATTTAAAATTTCATAAAAAGAATATCTTATTGGCTAACTTTCTTCAATTACAAATATAAAACTGAATCGCAAAATGTGATGAGAAACGCATAACTAAACAACTTTTGGACCAATACCATTAATTTTGTTTTGTTTTGCTGCGTTTACTACTATTACGGGAATGTTCTTAAGAAAATTAGTGGGAGGATATTGGAATAACAAAAGCGACCCTTTCTTCCTGAGCAATCTAAAGATATCACCCGTGCAAAGCAAGGACTAGTTATTAAAATTGATTTTGATGACTGACGGGTACCTACATAATTAAACAATAATTATAAACTATTTTATTTCATAGGTATGAAGCAGATGGTTAATGTTTTTAGTTTCAGAATGTTTTCCTGTTCATCTGCAATGAAGATAAAATACTGGTATTTTGATAACACGGATCGTCTCCAGATCATAATATTTATCTTACATTGTTGTATTCATGAAGGATTTTGATATCAATTCATCGATACTGTTTCCTTGATCTACCTATTGGTTGCAAAAGTGTTTGTTAAGTTTAGAATGACGCCTCAAAGAACCTATAGACCATCAAAGATGGGACTCAGTAGGGCTGATGCCAGGGTTGCGGGTGAAGCGCATTGATTTATTGCAGCACAGCCTGGAGTAGGGGGAGGGACGAGGTGGTTTTTAGTCATTAAGAATGTCGCACTTCCTGTCGCCCCACCCATAGGGACCCGGGCAGAAGTCATTTGATGATTTTCCCCTCTAAAAAAAGAAAATATGGAATAAGTCATTTAAAATTTTATATCTGGAATTTTGGATATGGATCAATTAATAAAAAACAATGTTTATTTATTAAGAAACATGATATCATGTTTGAATAATTCTAACAATAAATATTAAATATGTTTTTTATATATAGGTGCAAATTAATTCGTAGCCATAAATAGATGAAGCTATCCAATTAATACTACGTCAGAATAATAAAACAGATAATAACTCTAGTTTTCAATTGTATTCAGCCTAATCTTCACGCTCGCGTTACTTCACGGGTGAGTAGGCAGCCAGCTATTGTTTCTAATACAGTCGAATAAAAACGAATCTTATATCAAATTTTGTTGCTTTAATTAATTTTATTGCCAGCACGTGTTTTTGAGTTGCTTATTCATTCACGTATGGTAAGAATAGAAGGTTTTTTTCTCTTAATAGTAATGAAACAATGAAACAATGAATTTATTTTTGCAAATAGGCCATAAAACGGCACTTTTACACGTCAATTTATATGTGAAAAACTAGATGAAGCCGGCATTTCCTATCTGACTACTCTGAGAAGAAATGCCGAAACAAACTCAGAGGTCAGTCTCTTTTCAAGTCCAGACAATATTTAGATAATATAGTATAGATAGTAGATAATATTTATGGCAAAAGGTTATTTCCTTTATTTTCAAACTCTTATGGCTACCGGTGCAATGAGGAAAAATTATACGAGTACTAAAGTGACTATTATTACGAAGCAAATATTTAAAAGAAGATCGTACTTAAGTAGACAACTATAATTATAGAAAGTTTTAAGGAAAATCGTTGAAATAATTGCTTTTTACCTTGTGTTGAGACTGAGATAGTATTTATGACCTTACTACTGGAATAGAACTAGACTATTGAAGGACTAAGGAGCCTATTTCACAATTTGTGAGTAACTGTTATTTATCATATTTATTTGAATTTAGACCATAATATATAAGATGTATGTGTCACATTAGTTTATCGAAATCATGCACTTATTTACCTTTTTACATTCTGTTTTTTATGTTAAAACTCTTTTGTAATAAATTGTAAGGTTTACTATTTCCATGCATATTCCACCGGGGGCTCAATCCCTCCCCCTTCGACATTTTCCTTGTTATCCCCAAAAGGCCGACAACGCACCATTAGTCCATTGATGTTGCACCTACAAACGGTGCCGATTGCTTAACATCAGGTAATCTTTGCCGGCCTATCACATAAAAAAGATCCCTTTTATCTAAGAACATACGCATAAAAGTCATCCATTCTTAAAAAAGTATGCCAGCAAAATGTATTATTATTATTAAAACAGTTTAATAGCTTCTGTATGCCGTCATAAACATAGTCAATAAACCAGATGATCTGACTTCCTGGTCGAGCAAAATAATTATCTTTGACATTTTACAGTCAAATAAATCTTTAATGTCAATGCAAAATTACTCAGTCTGTCTCCTCACGCCCTGGTTGGGCCTGTAGGAAGTGTCTGACTCTTACTGACTATGAATCACCCAGTTCCTTCTCCTGCTCCGGGCCGAGGACGCGGCATATTATGGTACTAGCTACTCTGGCGCGGTTTCACCCGCGCGCAGCTCCATTAGATCGTAGTGTGATGTTTTATAATAGCCTATAGCACTCAGGAACATTGTAGCTATATATCAGTCAAATAATTTTGGCAATCCGACCAGCGGTTCCGGTTGTATGTAGGAGGCCTCCTACATACAAACTTACAAATTTTACCTCTTTATAATATTAGTATAGATATAACGCTTGCATCCGAAATCCCAGCTGGTTGTACTCTTATAGTATATAGCAGTCTTATGTATATAGTA